ATTGCACATAAAATAGATTCCACCTAGTTTGCAAAGTTTTACAAATTATAATCCTTGCCCTAAAAGGGCCTTATTATTGCAGTGTTGTAGAGGAGATGAGTCAATAATGTCATAATTTATGCTCTTTCTCATGAGTGGTTCAAAATCGGTGTTGAAATAGTCATTCTTTAAGTGTGCTTCCTGGCCATCAGCCTTACCTGGGAGATTGTTAGAAATTTGGATTCTCAGGTTTAAATACATATTGAGTCAGATCTCTGGAGTGGGGCTGAGTAATGTTTTAACAACGCTTTAGATAATTCTGATGTTGCTAAAATGGGATGATTGTTTAATAATAAGGTAGTTAGTGCACTAAGGAAAGCCAGACTGTTTTGTGTAGTGAATTCAGAGGAGTGGAATTCAGGCAGGATCTTTGAATTGATAAGAGAAGTAAAATCTTGTGTTTCAGGATTTCTCCAAAGAGTTGGCACTGTGGTTTAGGAAGTAATGGGAGATAGGGCTCTGATGAATTTTGGGAACAGATTGCTTTTTTATTTTGTATGATCATTCAAATTATCCCTCAGTTAACTGTCCTTTAAAAATGATATGTGAGTGTGAATTGTGTAATTATGCATATATAAGTGTGTGTGTTTATACTACCATGGATTGATTAAAACCATTCATCTGAGTGAAATTAGTTTTTGTTTTTAACTGTGGGCTAGTCATATAAACATGCAAGTTTAATTTTATATAAATACATGTCAAGATTTTATGTATGATGTAATTTTCATTTCTGTTTCCCATATGTAAAAATGCATGTTTGGACAAATTGATTGCAAAATCTGTATAACATCAAGAACAAATTTCCTTTAAATGTGCTAATGAAATGCTCCTGCTACATTTTTTTTCTTTTTTCTTTTAGGGAAAACATAAAACAAATAGTAAAACTTCTTGCAAGTATTCGAGCTTTGGATCATGCTATGTCTGTTGCAAGTGACCACAATGTGAAAGAATTTAAATCTTTGATTGAAGGAAAATAGACCTATGAGACTGAAAAGCTTATTTGCTTTAATACCATTCCCAATGTATAAATTTTGTATATATGTAAAGTTTCTTACACTGTAAAATACTGATTTTCATTTTAATACAAAAAAACATTATATTCAATACTGTGTCCTTAAATGCAATTTCTTCAGAATGAAAGGAATTCAGATTATTTCTAGGAGTCTATGTTTTCTTTACTGCCTGTCATACTTTGTTTACAGAAGTATTTTGTATGATCATTCAAATTAACCCTCTCAGTTAATTGTCCTCTATAAACAATGTGTGCAGTGTAAATTGTGTAATTATGCATATGTGTACATAGATATATATATATTTATATCACCATGGACTTTCACACTGGAAATTTGTGGTGTTTTTCTACAGAGAAAGCCTTTTAACAGCAGAAAATTATCCAGTAGCAAATTGTCTTAGGAAAATTACTACACTGTTGTAACAAGGGCTGGAAAGTGACTAAATAAATGTTCATCCCTTTTTGGTTAGCGTCGCTCTCACTGTAGCTGTGCTGCCTTAAAATTGAGAGTTGAGTTATGGACTCAGTAATTGAGTGGATATTGAACCTTGTTCTTTGAATCAGCATTACAGGCAAATGTGGGTTTCATGTGAACTCTAATATATGCAATATAGTTTCAAATGGAACGTGAAAGTTTAAGTTTTGAAAATAGTAAGCCCACAACCTAACTGCATGGTTTAGGCTGTCTGTCCTGTCTCATTCATAATTTTATTCCCTGCCCAGCTTACAGATACATGCATCTGAATTGAATTTTAGTAGTCTTATTATATTTAAAATCCCACATATGTGAGTTATATATGCAATAAAGAATACGCCTTGCTGATTAGCCACACCCAGGCAATTTAATATCCATGGTCTTCTATAATGTTTGTACCACATTGTAAATACTCAAGAGAACTTGTTTTAAAGTTTATGCTTTCAGATTCTGTGGTTTTCAAAAGGAACTTTTTGGAAATTAAGGACTATTGTTTGATAATTATATATGTAATTATGCTTTAGCCAAGCATTAAATTAATTTTTAAATATACCCTTTGTTGTATTTTGCTGGTGACTAATTTTAGAGCATTTCAAAATGAGTCTAGTATTTCGAGAATTAACAGTTTCATATGTATCCTTGATCAAGGCAAGTAGCGTTTAGAATAGTGTCATGCAGCGTGCTTGCTCTGTCAGTTGTATCTTTATTGTGGGAACATTGCTTATCTCCCTACACATTCATTCTGGGTGAATTTTTGTTATACTTTACTGGCCTACTAAGTCAGACAGAACACATTCCCAACTTCACAGAATTAAACATACACATAAATATCTATTTGGGCCTTATACTTCAAACTGTGTTTCTAAACTCCTTAGGCTTACTACTCTTCCTTATCTGTTTTTAAGAATTCTTAGAGTGAATTCAGACATTTTGTCCTGTGAAATCCATCAGGCAGGGGTTTCAGAAATGGGTGTGAACTAGGACTTTGTAAGGTAAATTTAACATAGAACTGGCATGAGACAAATGTTTTTATATCTCAACCAGAAGATTTTCATTTGAAGGAAATTCATTTGTTAAGGTAATAAATTACCCCAAACTGGGTGAACAGTTTAAAGAACAAAAATTTATTCTCTTAGAGTTCTGGAGGTCAGAAGTTAGAAATCAAGTGTAAATAAGACCATTCACCCCCCAAAGGCTCTAGGATTAAATCCTTTCCTTTAGAGCTTCTGGTGGCTGTTGATATTCTTTGGCTTATAGTCATATTGCTCCTATCACTGTATCTGCCTTCTGAGTATGTGTATAATTCCCCTCTGCCTCACTTTTATAAGAAAACTTGTGATTGCATTTAGGATTTACCTGGATAATCTAAAATAATCTCAAAATCTTTACTTCAATTTCAGCTAAGATTTTTTTCCCCACCTGAATAACTGCTCATTTAACGTTTGAAGGATTAGGATTTGGGGGTGATGCTAATTTTTAGGTTATCATTGCTCACTTAAAAAAATATTTTAGTTATAGTTCGGTGCACAATACCTTTATTATTTTATTATTGAACCTAGTGCCTCACACATTCTAAGGGAGTATAATTTTATCCCTGAGCCCCAACCCCAGCACCTCATTGCTCACTTTCAAGGATCAAGAGGATGTTGGCTTGTCTTGAAAGCCCCTAGGATCTCACTGTTAAATCTGTATGCCACCTAACTTGTATTTTAAGTTAGCTCACTCTAAAGACACACTAAGTTTGGTGGAAATCTGGGCAGCTATTTTCAAATACTGTAAAAGGTATAAAGAAGAAAGAGAAGAAATAACACATTTTAAAAGTGACTAGTAAAATTGCCTTTGTTTTTCAAATCCTGTGCTTTTTCCAACTAAAATGATATATTTTGGAAGGATTTGAAAAAGCTGTAACCTAAGAGTCCTGCTACCCTCTGGTGCCTAAGAATCCCAACTTTAATATGAGAGGTTTCCTATATAGATTCCCAGAGACATGACATGGTGCAAAAATCATGGGCTTTGGGGTTAAGTTTGGTTTACAGTCCCACTTTTAAAATGTTGATTTCCATTGTCATAAACATAAAACTTCCAAGCAAAGAAGTTGAAAATATGGCTACTGAAGCCAATAATTTTTTGGGGGGTGGTGGCAGCTGGTGCATACCAGGGATATGGAGGTATTTATACTTGAAAAGAAAAAAAAAATTCCAAAAACAACCATTTCCACCTGGTTTTCTTTGTTAAGTGCCATCCCTAACTGAAATGGACTCTTCCAGAAAGGGAAATGAGTGACCACTGACAAGTAGATTATTTTCATATTAGTTTAATTTTAAGGCTGCTATGGGTAAACCACTAGAAAGAGCAAAGCTTTTTTTTTTTTCCTAAGAAGATAGTACTAAATGAGAGAAATCTCTAGTTCTCAGAACTAATCCAAGTGTCTGCATTTTTCCTTGAGTTAAAAGTGGCTTTTCTAATGAATTTTAGCTTTCTTAGCATTCTGAAACCAGGGTGCGTCCAGCTTCTCTAAAATAGAAATGTCAAATCAAGTCACATGACAGGGCCTGGAGGGGGAAATGATTTTGCACAATATCAAGTTTAAATTCTGCTTTTGCTGGCAAATGCAAGAAGGGGAAGAGGTAAAGGAAAAAGCAAAGGCAAGTGGAAACCGTTTCTCAGAGTGCTGGGTTCTTGAGGTTTTCAATTCCTTTGTGCTTTGTTGGCTTCAACTTCAATCTCATATTTAAATTTGTTAAGTGTTAACTGAATAGGTCTTGGGACACAGACATTATCCAGACATGATTTGTTGAAAAAATTAGATTTAAAGGAGCTGATGACGTTAGTTACTAAGTTCCACTACTGGCAAAACCTATTCGTCATTCAGGGACAGCCATATTTTAACTCTGCCTTGAGCTCCCGGTGGGTGACTCTCCAGTTTCCATCTCACGCACAGTTGAGCAGTCTTCCCTATAGTGCTCCCGAGAGCTGCAGAACACACACACACACACACAAAGGTAGCGAACGGAACAGTTTTAAAGTCGGCCTTATTTCTTACTGCTGCCTATCCAGGCACTTAGAATTAAGAACTCGGAGCAGCTTGCTATGAGACACCATGGACAGCTCTTAAGGCGCCACCTGGTTGGCGCCGCGTGCTGATGGTTCCTCCCGCTTCCCCCCGTGGGTCTAGCCGGGGGAGGCAGCAAGGGGTGGTCCTGACGCCCGGTTTGGGCACGTATTAACACCCAGCCCCCAAAACTCTTCCCAGGAGTCTCTCCCTGGCGCGCACTGGGAGGGCTGGGGAGCTCTGGAAAGCACTCGCCAGAGGGCTGGTGAGGTCGGATCCTCCCTCTCCCAGCATCCCAGGCGGTGGGACCAGCAGCAACAGCCTAGCGGACTCGTCGCCCGTTCGAAGGTCGCTGCAGGTAGCGGCTGCGGCCAGCTGGTGCCGGGGCCCGAGAGGGCACGGGGTGGGAGGTGCTTATCTTATGCCCCGCCCCTTCCCGCAAGGGGTGGGTCTTCCGCCCGGGCTGCGGCGCAATGCGGAAGAGATGGATCTGCTGGAGCGGAAGTGACGCTTCCGGCGGCTGTGGCGGCGGCGGCTGCGGGAGGAGGAGGAGGAGGAGGAGCCGAAGGAAGAGGTGAGCTCCCGGCGGGAGGGCGGGGAGCGGCTGCGGCCAGACCCACCGGCAGCGGGGTTGGCGGGCGGACGCTTCTAGAGGCGGTCTCCGTCGCCGCAGCCTTCGCAAGAGCGGTGAGGGTGGCCCTGGCAGCCGGGACGCGGGAGGGCGGGCGAGAAGGTGAGGAGTCACTGCGGGTTGTGCCGGGCGCCGTGTCGGGCTGGGGGCTTTGGTGACAGCCGCTGTCAACCTGCCTACAGGAAAGGAACTGAATCCGTCTGAGCGCCGGGACACTTCTTCTGGCGCATAATGGAGGCGTTGGGCTCCGGGCGCCTCGGTTCCCCTGGGAGGGAGCCGCTTTCTCCGGCGGTAGACTGCCAGTCGGGTCCCTGCTCCGAGTTGAGGCTCTTCCCGAGTGGCCTTTCTTATGGGCCGGCCCCACTTGCGGTCCCCGCAGCCGGCGGTGGCCTGGGGCTGGGCGGGCGGCGGCGGTAACCTGTGTCGCTCCCCCTGCCCTTCGCCGCCGCCCGGGAAGAGCCCGCGGTGGCCGATAATCCTTTTCCTCCTCTGGCCCCCTAAGGAGCTTTGAAGCAGCCTTCTCACCTTCCCTCCCACATTCTGGCCTCCCCCGTCCCCCAGGAGCGGCGTGAAGTTTCCTGGTGGGTTCCCTTCCAAGCCAGTGACAAATCTTGAAGCAGGAAGCTGGTAACCCTCAACAAAAATACGCTCAAAATTTTTCCCTTGATAAACATAAATTAAAAGGGAATTCATCTTAACCAGACTGTTCATGGACTTACAGTGCTAAAAGCCTATCCCTGTCTTGAAGAGAGAATTTGTAGTGTATTCTTTCGCTTTTTGGTAAAATTTAGTGACGATTTAGGTTTTGGATTGAACATTCAATTCGAGCTCTCTCTCTCTCTCTCTCTCTCTCTCTCTCTCTCTTTTTTTGCCCCCCTCCCCCCGCAATAAAAAAAACCTGGCAGGGAGGGACTTCTGGATGCCTTGCAGTCCTTGCAGCAGAAGGAACCCTCAGCATCATTTGCTTTGCTTTGCTTGGTTTTCATAGGACTGTCTCTGAAGAAAGGAGAATGGCGTTCAGCAAAGGATTTCGAATTTATCACAAATTGGATCCCCCACCTTTCAGTCTCATAGTGGAAACTAGGCATAAGGAAGAATGTCTCATGTTCGAGTCTGGGGCTGTGGCCGTGCTCTGTAAGTCCTCTGTTAGAGACAAACTGGGCATGGTCTCTGTTTTGATTTGAAATTCTCAGATTCAACAATTTAAAAAAAAAAGACTTAGCAGCATTTCTCACTATATTACATCTAATAGTTTATGCTTTTATTTCCTTTTAATATTTAATATTTCCTTTTATTTTCCTGTAAAGTTTTTGTTAGTAGGTTTTTCTTGGGACTATGGTGGGAGGTTATAGGTTTTGGTTACAGGATTTTGGGGTTATTTTGCTGCTTCTAAAAGTATATTTTTTTCCACAGAAATGTCATTTGCAATTTATGTCATGTTAACCCTTAAAATGGTTTGCTTGACATTTTTTTACTGTAATGAACATGCTTTCTTGTAGGTCAGTTATAATAGTAGATATTATTTGATATTGTTGGGTATTATGTTGAACATACATACATGTATATGTATATGTGTATAAAAAATTTTTATTTATATATATATTTGTGTGTGTGTGTGTGTTGCTGGAATTCCAACCCAGGGTCTCATGAACGCTAGGGAAGCACTATATCCCTGAAGTACATTCCCAGCATTTATCTATTTGTTAATTCTGTTTATCTTCATTAGATTTAGGCTATATGAGAAACTGTCTCAGGGCATAAAAACTTTGAATATTGCTTTTCTCTGTAAAGCTAGCATAAATGAATGTATAATCTCTGGGGTATGTTATTCTTCCTATTATAAACTTCACAGTAATAATTAAAATATATTTTTTAAATTTAATTTTTGACTAATACATAAAAATTGTATGTATTTATGGGGTATCATGTAATGTTTTGATACATGTATACATGGATGTTTAAATCAGTTCAAGCATATCTGTCTCTTAAAACATCACTTTTTTATGGTGAAAACATGCAAATTTCTTTCTTCCAGCTTTCTGGAATGTGCAAAACATTATTATTGATAGGTACCCTACTGTGCAATAGTAAAATATTAATTTTTTGTGGGAGGGGTACTAGGGATTAAACCCAAAGATGCTTTACCATTGAACTCTATTCCTAGCTATTTTATTTTATTAATTTTTGAATCAGGATCTCACTAAATTACCAAGGCTGGCCTTGAACTTGGGTTCCTCCTGCCTTAGCTTCCTGAGTAGCTGGGATTACAGGCATGTGTCACCATGCTTGGCTTAAAATATCAGTAATTAAGAGCTAAAAAACCTTATTTTTAATAAATAATTTTACTTATGAAATTAATCTTGCCTTCAGCTTGGAGTTACACCAAAGTGTGTGATGTGTAGGGAACTGTGCATGGAAGATCTTGACATGTTCTCATTATCTTCAACAGCCCCAGGCCCCTGAACTTCCTGTATATTAATCTGCCAGAAGAATCTTCTAAAATCATTTTGGTATTCAACCAAAGTGTAATTCTGTTTTTCACTAAGATTAAGTTTGGACTCCTCTGTAATTTGGACCCTCTCTTGCTGTCTCCTGTGTAGGACTCCTTTATGGACATGAGCTTTTTTTTTTGTTTCTTCAATGCTGTTTTCCCCAAAGTATTGTGAATTCTCCAGCCTTCACCGTGTTGGTCCTTTGTTACACCTTCTTCCTCCAAGACCACTAGCTTTCTCTGTCATTTTGGACTGGCCCTGCCAGTTGTACTCAAGTCTTCCTTTCTGAGAATCTACCCCACCCATTCATTACAGCTCACTTTTGTTGCTACATCCTCTTTATTTCTGTAGAACTTCATCTGTATTAGAAGATGAATACTTTTTTATGTTGAATTTTGTTATTCTCTAAATGCTTATAGGTGTTTTTCTTCTACATAAATGATGCCAGTACCAAGTGCATGCCTGTAATCCCAGCAGCTGGAGAGGCTGAGCAGGAGGATGGAGAGAGTTTTCAAAGCCACACTCAGCAATTTAGTGAGGCACTAAGCAACTCAGTGAGCCCTGTCTCTAAATTAAATACAAAAAAGGGCAGGGGATGTGACTCAGTGATTAAGTGCCTCTGAGTTCAATCCCTGGAACCAAAAAAAAAAGATAAATGGTAAAAGTCTTTGTTCCTAGTAATACTTGGTTTTTATGTACCAAAAGTTTATAATTTCAACAATGTCTTGTTGCCTTAGGTTTAAAGAGTAAAGTTTTAAAATTCTGACATTTTAGTCAACACACAGTGTTAATTGGCAATCACTTAATTTTCTTGGCTTATGCTACAACTGCCATGAGATTCTAAACATGAAACCTTATTTTTCAAATTATTAGCACATATGAATAATTAGTTTGCAAGCAAAAATATGATGAGAATAGTTCTGGATCCCTAGGGACCAACTTCCACTCACCCAGCCTTAGGACTCTCTTTAAGAATCCTATTGATAGTATTCCAAGCTTAAATTAGTCATGATGCTATGACTTGATCAGTGAGCCAATGGTTTTCAACCCTGGCAGCATATTAAAATCACCGAGGGAATATTTACAAATACTGGTGCCTGGGCTCCAGCCTCAATTAATGCTGATATTATCATTGTTGGATGGCAATTTCTGAGCAGAATTTATATAGGCCTTGCTCTTATAGATTAGGAGATTCTTATTTTTGGCTTACAGGGTTATCTAAAATAACCATGTTTCTAGCATCTTGGTGCCATTACCGTCTATGATGAGGTTAATAAATAGTTTTCTTAAAACCTTCAGGCTGAACCAACTGCTGATATTATCATAACACTCTTAGTATATTGTTTCATATCACATGGAATTGTGTTCAGGTTTCAAATTCTGGATGCTGGGCTCCTTTGAGAAGGCCTATGTCTTAGTAATGATTATGTCTCCATGCTTAGTACAATGTTTACTCATATTTGAAGAATAAATAGTTATTAAATGAATGATATTAGGGAGAAGACTAACTTAAACTATATTACAAAGTTGAAAAACACAGTTATTATATGTTGGAAAATATATTTTTTTCTTTCAGTTTTTTTTCTTTTGTACTATTTGGTGATTGAACCTCAAGACTCACACATTTTAGATGAGGACTCTACCACTGAGCTATTTCCCTGGCCCAATTTAATTATATTTTAATTGACACATAATAATTATAACAATTTATGGGATACAATGTGGTGTTTTTATACATGTATACCTTATGTTATGATCCAGTCAGGGTAATTAACATATCCAGAGCCTTAAACCTTTATTATTTTTTTGTGGGGAGACATTAAAAATTCCCTCTTTAGCCATTTTGAAATATACATTATCATCACTATAGTTATTTACTGTGCAATAGAGTACCACGATTTATTCCTCCTATCTGACCTTAATTTTGAACCCCTTAACCAATCTATTCCAAATCCCACATCATCCCCACCACTTTATCCAGCCTTTGGCAACTGTTATTCTACTCTCTACTTCTATGAGATTGACCTTTGTTTTTGTTTTTGTTTTTGTTTTTGTTTGATTTTTTTTTTTTTTTTTTTTTTTTTTTAGTGCTGGAGATTGAACCCAAGAGGTCTCACACATGCTAGGCATGTGCTCTACCACCTGAGCTATATCCATAGCCTGACAGTGACTTTTGTAGATTCCACTTGAGATCATGCAGTATGTGTCTTTCTGGGCCTTGCATATTTCACTTAACATAATACCCTCCTGGTCCATACATGTTGCAAATAACAAGATTTCATCTTTTAAGACTAAATAGTATTCCTTTTTGTATATATGCCACAAAATACAGGATCTTTTCTTAAAAATTTTATTTGTGATGGTGCATGCCTATAGTTGGTTACTTGAGAGACTGAGGTGAGAGGATCACTTGAGCCCAGGATTTTGAGATTAGTCTGGCAAACAGATCCTATCTCAGAAAAGAAAAAAAAAATGAAAAAAAGAATTTCTATTAATTGAACTACTGTAAAAGATATATCTTACTTATTCAGATTTGTTACTCAAAAATACTATTGGAACAATTATTAACCATATTATTAAGTTTTTTTTAAATTGCCAATTAAGAATCTATGATGAATGTTGTTTATACTATAATTACTGTTAACAATTTGTTTAAAATTACTTTTCTTTAAATGGAAAATAATAATTTTTTATTTCTTCTGTTGCATTTATTAAAAAAACTTTTGAAATATTCTTAAACTTAGATAACAATTACTGTTTTTTAAAATAACTTTATTTTATTTATTTATTTTTATGTGGTGCTGAGGATCAAACCCAGTGCCTCACACATGCTAGGTAGGTGCTTTACCACTGAGTTACAACCCCAGCCCATAATTAATGTTTTTTAGTGGTATATCCATTTTTGAAAATTATTAATTCTGAAAGTGTTCATTTAAACTGAAATCTGAAGTCTGTGGAGCAGTGGTTCAGTTTAGCAGGTGGACTCAATGACAGGTATACTTCATTGGACCAACATAGATAGCAAGTGTGATGATCACAAGTTGTAACAGTACATATTTTTTTTTCCTAGAAACTGATTTATGAAGAGGTAAAAGAAGACTTGTTTCAGATTTGTATGGGTCAGTGTACCTAGACTTCTACAGTTTCACACACACAAAAAGACTTTCACAAGAAAAGGCAAGCTGTCAATCATACATGAATTAAATGTACAAACAGTGTCGTTGTTTTGCAGTCCATCTCATGCTCAGTAAATACATAATCCACTTAATAACTGTATCCTAAATAGAAGATGAAGAAGGGAGAAAGTCAACAGATGAAAATTGAAGGATGATTCTAAAAACAGGAGTTATGCCAGGCACAGTGGTACATATCTGTAAGCCCAGCTATTTGGGAAGGTGAGACAGGTAAGACAAGGTCAGCCTGGGCAATTTAGCTAGGCCCTGTCTCAAAATAAAAAATAAAAAGTTTGGGGAGATAGCTCAATGGTAGAATGCCCCTGGGTTCAGTCCCCACTACCTCCACCCACACATAAAAATAAGTAAAAACAGGAATTATAGTTTACTTTAAAAGATGGGGCTGGGAACTGTGCATGTGGCTCACTGGTAGTGCTTGCCTAGCATGTGCAAATCCTATATTTAATTC